TTAAATCAATTTAATGGCATACTCCCGGATTCAATTGGGAATCTATCTACTTCTCTTCAAAATTTTCAAGCATTTGGATCAAAAATCAAGGGCAGCATTCCTTATGGAATCGGCAATTTGAGTGGCTTAGGACATCTAAGCATGGATAGCAACGAGTTGACCGGACCTATCCCACCAACAATAGGAAGGTTAAAGAATCTCGTACAACTGTATCTTGAACACAATAGACTACAAGGACCCATTCCAAATGATCTCTGCAAGTTAACCAAGCTCGGAGACATTTACGTAAGTAACAATAACCTTTATGGACCGATACCAACATGCTTCGGAGAACTCAAGTCCCTAAGAAGACTCTACTTAGACTCCAACAACTTGACTTCCATCATACCTTCAAACTTGTGGAGCCTTAAAGATCTATGGGCTCTAAATTTATCCACAAATTCTCTCGGAGGTAATCTGCCATTAGATGTCGCGAATTTGAAGGTCTTGATACAATTAGACTTGTCATGGAACTAGTTATTAGGTGACATCCCCAGCACCATTGGAGGCGCTCAATCATTAGTAAATTTATCCTTGGGGCATAATAAACTGCAAGGACATATTCCTCAATCACTGAGTAACTTAATAAGCTTGGAATTTTTGGATCTAGCCAGTAACAATCTGTCCGGAGACATTCCCAAGTCCTTAGAAAAACTCAGGTATCTTCATTATTTGAATGTGTCCTTCAATAGATTGCAAGGAGAAATTCCTACAGGAGGATGTTTCAAGAACTTTACAGCTCAGTCATTTATGTATAATGATGCACTCTGTGGTGTGTCCAGACTACAAGTCCCGCTGTGCAAAACCAACGCATCAAAGTCAAAAATTGTGCCTCTATTGAAATACATTTTACCCACTATAGTAGCATCAGCAATCCTTGTGCTGGCCCTTCTATATGTGTTGATAAGGCACAAAAAAGATAATTCCAGATTACCTACCCAAGTTAATTCAGTACCTCTTGCATGGAGAAGGATTTCATACCATCAGCTTCTACAAGCAACAAATGCATTTAATGAAATGAACCTACTTGGTAAGGGGAGTTTTGGTTCTGTTTATGGTGGAACGCTTTCAGATGGGACAAATATTGCAGTAAAGGTTTTTAATTTGCAATCAGAAGCAGCATTCAAGAGTTTTGATGTCGAATGTGAGGTAATGCGTAATATTCGCCATCGAAACATTACTGAAATCATCAGCAGCTGCACGAACATGGATTTCAAAGCCTTGGTACTCAAGTACATGCCTAATGGGAGCCTTGAGAAGTGGTTATATTCTCACAACTATTGTTTGGATATCCTACAACGGTTAAACATAATGATAGATGTGGCATCAGCCTTGGAATATCTACATCATGGTCATTCAACTCCCATTCTTCACTGTGATTTGAAGCCTAGCAATGTCCTGCTCGATGAAAATATGATTGCACATATTGCTGATTTCGGTATAGCCAAACTCTTGGGCGATGGGGATTTTATGGCACAAACCAGGACTTTGGCAACAATTGGTTATATGGCACCAGGTAAAGTTAATTTCAATTCATGTTCAAGTTTTCTTATTAATTTTTTAAATTTTGTAGTTGTCCTTTTTACTGTTAATATTTAGCTTCATTCTATGATTTTATAGTAAATGTTAATGTCATGCACAGAATACGGGACTGAAGGAATAGTATCTACAAAAGGCGATGTCTACAGTTATGGTATCATGTTGATGGAAGTCTTCACAAGGAAAAAGCCAACAGATGACATGTTTGCTGGAGATATGAGCTTGAAGCGTTGGGTGAAGGAAACATTAGATGATTCTCCATTTGCAGTTTTGGACACCAATTTGATAGCAAGAGAGGACAAACATTTCCTTGTGAAGGAGGAATGTATATCATCAGTCTTGAGATTGGCCATGGATTGTTCAAATGATTCACCTGAGAAAAGGATCAACATGAAAGATGCCTTGATTGTACTTAAGAAAATTAAAACCGCATTTGTAGCAAACAGTGGATAGGCTTGAAAGGTAAATTTATTGACAATAACATATATCAAGTTTGGTAGTATTTTATACACTACACTTGCCTTTTTAGGAAAGCAATGTCTGTTTTTCTTAGGAAGCAAGTTGTACTTCTTTCCATTTAAAACTTTCTTTCCTTTTTTACTGTATTCCACTTCTAAGTTGGAGATGAAGCATGCAAATGGGAGAATCCTTGGCCGAAAGATCGTCTGTCAAACATTTTACCTTTCGAAACACACACTACTTATTTGTATTTTTTTCTTTCTTCTCTCTCTACCAATCTCGAAACCTTGACCAAGGACTTGAGAGTTAAGGCCCAAACATGAAATCTTATTTGTATGGGCACCATCCACAGAATTTTAGGACCATCTATATTCAGGCCAACCCTTCTAGGAAGGTCAAAGAGAGAAACAAAGAAAGAGAGAAAATTTACAAACACAAAAGCTTCATAATTGGTCAATTGGAATAGAATTACCTGGTAGTCGCCCTCCAAGGAAAAACTAGACGAAATCTTTAACAATTATTCCACTTTCGAATTCTTGCGACTCAGAACGAGCAATGGCCTCATGCAGCTGTAACCAAAAGAAGAAGAAACCCAAAATAAAAGATGGCATAAGAAGGTGCATAACATAACACTGATGCTACATTTGGCCGCACTGAATCGGCACTTCGGATTTAGAATCGGAGAAAATTTAGTATAAATTTTGAACTAAACTTCCTCCGATGTCAAATCCAAGACACATCCAAGACACCAATGCAGTGCTTCCAAACATAACATGAAAAAGTATGCACTAATTTCAAATTACTGATAAAGCACTATTTGTGACATTGATTCACCCAACCGCTGATGGTAGAGTAATTGTTACCACAAACAACGACAACTTATAGCTTCTCGCTGCAGTTTCCTTAATATGCGCATGGTAAACCAGGATCAAAATTGTATATATTGCCAGGAAAAAAATAATAATAATAAGATCAAAATCATAAGCAATTTTCAACAATTTTGACTTACCAAGGGATCAAATGGTTTTCCAACTGTTGAATTTTTAGTTTCATTTGTTGCCTCGCTCTCTCAAAATTGTCCACCAATGGCAAAAAGCTCTCAATCACTTCCCAGAATTTATCGCTGCTTTTAAAGCTCAAACATTCTGGACCAATTCTTTTTTACTTTTTACTCATCATCTTCAAATTTCTTCGATTCCCTCTTCTCTAATCAAACCCTAACTGTTTCCCCTTCCTCTCATTTTTCTTTTTCTTTTTCTTTTTCTTTGTTTTTTTCTTTTTTTTCTTGTCTTCTCTTTTTTATTACTTCCTCAAAATTTCTAGTTGTTTTGCATCCATTTTTATTCTTAATGGAAGTTAAACCCGACTAAAAAATATTGCTAAACTATAACTTTGGATGTTATTTAAAAAATAAAATAATAATAATAATAATAATAATAAATAAATAAAAAAGAAGAAAATTTATTGTAATTTTTTTATATATATTGCAAATAATTATAGTATTTGTCATGTTAATTGAAGAAAAAAAAATTATTTTAATTATATTCAATGTGCTATCCGGAACAAATTCAGGGTTCCACTTCCAGCACTGAATTCAACAAAGATGGCAACTTGGTTCCAAAAACAAAAACAACATTCCATTGATTCAAACGGTCTCAAAAATCTTGTGTGCCAATCAAAAAAACAAAGCGATATATATATATATATATTTTTTTTTTTTCTTTTTTTTTTTCAGCATTAGGAATTATCCATTCATTTGACAGATTGCAGAGATTTGGTATTGTTGGACTTATCACAAAATCCATTAGATGACGCTCCAAATTTCAGTTGGGAATTTGTCTGCTTCTCTTTGGCTGTTTGGAGAATTTGAATGCAAAATGAAGGGAAACCATCCCCAGTAAAATGGATCTTTTAAGTATCATAAATTACAATTAATTAACGCATAGTGGAGCAATAACATGTAAGGGATATTTTTATCTCAAAAATAATTTGTCACCTCTATTATTTGTTGAGAGTATTACAAGTTGATTGTTTTCTACTAGAGCATCAATTGTAACGATATCTCCCGGAGTGAATGATGAGAGCTCAAGTTTCAAAATGAATTTCTTATTAATAAATAAATAAAAAGTCAATATCTTATAGGTGTGGATTCATACAAGTGATTTCATTACCCCATCAATTCATACATATATTTCATGCCATTTATATATTCTTTCATTCATTGTGAACCAAATAGAGGACGGTAACTTGTTCATTTTCTCCTTTCTATTTAAAATTTGATTCATGATATTTTTGCCCGGGGAGTAAAAACAAAATAGAGAGCCACATCCGTTGGATTGTTCAATTGTATCATATTACCAAAGTCTTGACCTTAGTGGTATGTCCTTCACCTCTAAAAAGACAAAAGTCACAAGTTCAACCCATAAGGGACATGTATGTAAATAAACTTACCTAGAAAAATAATAATAAATGGTCGATCTAAATTCCAATCCACCAGTTCCGTGTTTATTTTTAAAAAATATATAAAAAACTGGCAAGGAAAAAAAATTACAAAGAGCAAAAGGATAACAATCTGTAGCTGCAATATTTTCAAGAAAAACATTAGAGTGAAGGTGGCCTTTCGAAAATTTAGCCACTTCATGAGCAAGTGAGAAACCAAACCCTGCAATATCATTTGCAACTACCTAAGCATCACATTCAAATCACTTTAAAAAAATAAATAAATAATCACATTCAAACCACCAGTTTCGTATTCATTGTATTTCCATTCATGTTAAAGATCAAGTAAAAAATATGCAAACTTTTCTCAACAATTTTTTGTTCAGGATGATTGTTTCGGACTCTACTTCCAAATCCCTCAACCTTGTAGTAAATAATCTCATCATAATGATTGTTTAATATGATGTTATATGCTAATTACTGAAAATAAATTTTAGAAGAAGAGTCTACACATCAGACCAAACTTTGAGAAAACAGCCAATATCAGTCTTCTATTATTTATCTTCCCATTGTAAAAGTTTTAATCAGATTTCATGTATAAATGGGGGAATTAGATATGACTTAAACAAAAGTAAACTACCTGTTCAGACAGTCTTGACACAGAATTCACCACTAAAAATGACAATTTGCAAATTTACCACACAATCTGTACAATTGTTAAGAACTTAAAACGTGCCTCTACTAAAATATATATTGTCACTGACCTAGAGAGGATGAACATTTCTCTTGGCAATGTGTAACATCGAACATGAAATATTTTACTATTTAAAGGTTTAACGTCCAGAATGAGCGCTATAGTTATCAAATTCTGCACCTACATTTCAAAACAAATCATATCAAGTATCAATTTGAAAAGAAAAAGAAAAAAATTTGAAGTGGAGGCTAACTCGGTCAATCAAATAATGCAGCTATCACTTATCCTATTAAATAAATAAACTAAGAAAAAAGAAACAAAAATCAACTATGCCATGTGCTTGGCCTTCATGAACATCCCATGTAGACCACCCAAGTCTCTTATCTTAACAAATAGACATATTAAAGGACATCATGAAAGCATAAGTTGACATATAAATATACATTGTTCGAAACAATTTGGTAGTTTTTTACGAACCCCAATCTCAACTTTAACAGGTACACCAAAACACAAACGTCCAAGCCAATTTCAATATGCTCATTTATTAAAAGGTGTGTGTGTGTGTGTGTGTGTGTCTGTGTGAACGCGCCCATGGTGTGTGATGGTTGTTGGACAGGGGAGGTATGCTTTGGCAGCTGAATCTGAATTTCAACAAGTTCACATTTCTGGTGGCTGCAAATTCCATAAAACAATGCACCTACTGATTTCCAGGTCAAAAAATTAAAAAGTAGTAAATAAAAAAAGACCATACCTCAGTGGTCAAATTCCATATCTTACAAGGCTCAATGGTCAAATTCAATCCAAATTAGGGGAATGCAGAGGGCTTCGAGTATTAGAATTGCGAGAAAACAAATTCACTGGTAGTATACCTAAGGAATTAATTGGGAACCTTACATCCCTCAAAGTCTCTATGATAACAACTTGACAGGTAACTCCAAGACTTTATTGCCTTTTATTAATTTATATTAGTAAATGTATATCTCTTGCACATGTACATGATATTTGCATCTAGATCCACTTTCTAAGCACCCATAACTTCCATTATAAAATAAGCTAGTAACATGCCTGTGGTTAAAATATCATAGTCAACAAAGTCACATATTAAAATAAACCATTGTCCGTGGTTCATTGGGTGGAGCTGACAAGGAAATTCACTAGGGGATATCTAATAATATGAAAATAGAAATTAAAGTACAATAAATTTCTCTTTACAATAGAATTCTTAACATAAACAAAATCCAAGATAAGATTATCTATAAATGAAAACTAATTGATAACTCCTTAGGTGCACATAAGAATATATTTGATCAATTTTGACATAGATATGTAGATAAACAGACCAAAAAATTGGGGAAAAAAAAAAAAATTTTTAAAAGGTAAAATGAGATATGTATACAAGTTATGTTCTGACTTTATGGCCTTTTTTAAAAAAAAAATGTAAGCTTCCAAAAGTAAGACCAAAAGATCCTAAAATTAGATTCTCAAGGGTTTGGAGGACCGCATGTTAAATGTTCAAGTGTTTTCTATCTCAAATATTCATAGTGACCTATTTATTAGGGTTTCCATTTTTTTTTTTGGGGGAGGAGTGGGTGCATACCCGGTCTTTTATAAAAGGGAACAATTATGTGAAGAGCGACAATTTGCTCTACTTGCAAACTGGCACACCTTATGTGTGTTGATGTGGCAAAATTGAGAGACCCACATCAGCTAATAATTGAGGAGCAAAAATCGCTTCAATGCAAGTGTTTGATTATTTTAATATAATCTCAGCAGGGTAAAGCTTAATGAATAATAAAATGGTGTTCGTGTTGTGGTAGGTACATTGCCAGAACAGATTGGAAACCTTGATCTTGAGAGATTTTATGTCGGTGTAAACAGCTTAACTGGCCTCATTCCATTCAAAATATTCAATGTGTCAACGATAAAACTCCTTGACCTGCAATTTAATCACTTCTCAGGCCGTCTTCCTTCAGACATGGGCTTTGGCTTCCCAGTCTTGAAGAGCTTTATCTGGGCATCAATAAGCTCAATGGAGAAATCCCAAGCTACTCTCCTAAGTTTTTCAGGAAACTCATTCACTCCTAAGTTTTTCAGGAAACTCATTCACTGGCTCTATACCACATACGCTGCGTAGTTTAAGATTCCTACAACGGCTCTTCGCCGCTGCAAATAATTTGACAAGGGAATCCTCTACTCCAGAATTAAAAAATTTCACTGCTTTGACCAATTCAGACATTTGGAAATAGTGAGTATAGTAGGAAATCAATTTAATGGCATAATCCCGGATTCATTTGGGAATTTGGCTACTTCTTTACGAGTTTTACAAGCACTTGGATGCAAAATCAAGGGCAGCATCCCTAGATGAATCAGCAATTTGAGTGGCTTGGGACTCATAAGCATGGATAGCAACGAGTTGACTGGACCTATCCCACCAACAATCGGAAGGTTACAGGAACTCGAACAATTGTATCTTGAACACAATAGACTAGAAGGACCCATCCCCGATGATCTCTGCCATTTAACCAACTTGGGAGACTTGTATGTGAGTAACAATAAGCTTTATGGCCTGATACCAACATGCTTGGGAAAACTCAAGTCTCTAAGAAGACTCTACTTAGACTACAACAACTTGACTTCCATACCCTCAAACTTGTGGAGCCTTCATGACCTATTGGGTCTAAATTTATCCACAAATTCTCTGGGAGGTAATCTACCATTAGATATCGGGAATTTGAAGGTCATAACACAATTAGACTTGTCATGGAACCAGTTATCAGGTGATATCCCCAGCACCATCGGAAGCGCTCAATCATTAGTAAATTTATCCTTGGGGCATAATAAACTGCAAGGACATATTCCTCAATCACTGGGAATTTTTGGATCTATCTGGTAACAATCTGTCTGGAGCCATTCCCAAGTCCTTAGAAACACTAAGGTATCTTTACTATTTGAGTGTGTCCTGCAATAGATTGCAAGGAGAAATTCCTAAAGGAGGATATTTCGCGAACTTTACAGCTCAGTCATTTATATTTAATGATGCACTCTGTGGTGTACTCAGACTACTAGTCCCGCCGTGCGACACGCTCCAACGATCAAAGTCCAAAATTGTGCATCTATTGAAATATATTTTACCCCCCTATAGTAGCATCAGCAATCCTTGTGCTGGTCCTTCTATACGTTTTGATAAGGCGCAAGAAAGATAATTCCAGATTACCTACCCAAGTTGATTCAGTGCCTCTTGCATGGAGAAGGATTTCATACCATCAGCTTCTACAAGCAACAAACGCATTTAATGAATCGAACCTACTTGGTAAGGGGAGTTTTGGTTCTGTATATGGTGGAACGCTTTCAGATGGGACAAATATTGCAGTAAAGGTTTTTAATTTGCAATCAGGAGGAGCATTCAGGAGTTTTGATGTCGAATGCGAGGTAATGCGTAATATTCGCCATCGAAACCTTACTGAAATCATCAGCAGCTGCACGAACATGGATTTCAAAGCCTTGTTACTAGAGTACAGGCCTAATGGGAGCCTTGAGAAGTGGTTATATTCTCACAACTATTGTTTAGATGTCCTACAATGGTTAAACATAATGATAGATGTTGCATCGGCCTTGGAATATCTACATCATGGTCATACAACACCCATTCTGCACTGTGATTTGAAGCCCAGCAATGTCCTGCTCGATGAAAATATGGTTGCACATATTGCTGATTTCGGTATTGCCAAACTCTTGGGTGATGGGGATTTTATGGCACAAACCAGGACATGTCCAACAATTGGTTATACGGCACCGTAAAGTTCAATGCTTGTAATTTCAGTTCATGTTCAAGTTTTCTATTAGTTTTTAAATTTTGTAGTTGTCTTTTTTTACTGTTAGAATTTAGCTTCATTCTATGGTTTTACAGTAAATGTTAATGTCATACACAGAGTACGGGACTAAAGGAATAGTATCTACAAAAGGCGATGTCTATAGTTATGGTATCATGTTGATAGAAGTATTCACAAGGAAGAAGCCAACAGATGACATGTTTGCTGGAGAGATCAGCTTGAGCCTTGAACCGTTGGGTGAAGGAAGCATTAGATGATTCGCCATTTGCAGTTTTGGATGCCAACTTGATAAGAGGAGAGGACAAACATCTCCTTGTGAAGGAGCAATGTATATCCTTTGTAGCATGAATGATGCCTTGATTGTACTTAAGAAACTTAAAACCACATTTAAAGCAAACAGTGGAAGGGCTTGAAAGAAAAATTTATTAAAGAATAATAGATATCAAGTTTACTAATATTTTCTACACTACACTGCCTTTTAAGGAAAGCAATTAATGTCATTTTTTCTTAAGAAATAAAGCTCTACTTGCTTCCACTTATTTCTTTTCTTTTTTACTGGATTCCACTTCTAAGTTGGAGATGAAGCATGCAAATGGAAGAATTGCTGGTCAAAAGATCAGTCTGCTAAACCGTTTTTACCTTTCGATCTATTGTTCTTCTCTTTGCATTCAAAGTCTACCTCTCTAAATCTAAACATATAAAAAAAGAAAAATTATTTAACTTCCAATCACTATTTACTTTTACTTTTATTTGTTTGTGCACCTTCATCACAATTTTAGGGACATCTATATTCAGGCCAAGACTCTTCCAGAGAAGCATATGAAAGGATATTTATAGGGTGCACTCTTTTTAAGACTGATAGGATAAGCTTGTTATTAAATTGCCAATGATACTCAGGTTGCATGTGATATGTGATGGATGACCATGTTTTATAAGATGGAAAACAAGGGCAAAATGGAGCTACATCACACGAGATGATTCAAGTTCAGGCAATAAAAAATTAGAAAGAAATGCACAAGCAAAGAAATATATTCAAATAAGAATGGCAATGCAAAGAATACAATTTTTTTTTTTTTTTTTTTTTTTTTTTGATAAGTAAGATTTTATTGAAAACGCTCAAAAGGGGAGCGGAACCCAAAGAAACACAAGGGCCAAAGGGCGCCTTAGACCTTCAAAGAGGCCAAAAATACAATAATCTCCTCCGTAGATCTATAATCTCTCCCTGAGACCCAACAAAAAAGAGTGGAAATGATAGAGAACTTAAGCATAGAAATAGGTTTCTTTTTTCCATCGAAATATATCCTATTTCTCTCGAGCCACATACACCACCAAATACAAATAGACGTAGCCCTCCAAGCATTCTGAATGAGAGCCCCAACAGAGACACCTCTCCAAGCCTCGATCAACCCTCTAGAGGAACAAGGCATAACCCAATGGACCCCAAATAATCCAAGCATCAAATCCCAACAGTCTCTGGCCATACTGCAATGTAGAAGAAGGTGATCAACTGTCTCCTCATCACACAAGCACATATAACAATGATTGATCACCACCCGATTCCTCCTCAAATTATCCTAGGTTAAAATCTTACCCAAGACGGAAGTCCAAGCAAAGAAGGCAACCTTGAGGGGAGCCTTAGAACGCCAAATAGACTTCCAGGGGAAAGGGTCTCCGGGAATAACCGAAAGGCACCTGAAAAAAGACTTAACCTCGAAATGACCCTGTGAGTTAGGATCCCAGAACCAACAATCCGACCCCCTATCAGTGATCACCTGGCTATAAAGAACCTCCAAAAAACGAGAAACATCCTGAATCTCCCAATCCTGAAAGTGCCTCCTAAACTGAACATCCCAAGGCAGTCTCCCGTTATCAAGGTGATAACGTCAACCACCATGGCCTGTCGGTGAGAAGCAATCCTATAGAGCCGTGGGAAAGCGAGAGATAGAGGAAGCTCCCCACACCAAAGATCTTTCCAAAAACTGATCCTCCTACCATCTTTGATCCGAAAACGAACATGCTTGATGAAATCATCCTAACCCCTCCAAATATAAGTCCAAACCCCCACCCCCCTAGGACCACGAATCTCAAAAGAGCACCACCCACCACTGCTCTCCCCAAACTTGCTCGCGATAACTCTCCTCCAAAGTCAATGCCTCTCAATCCCAAACCTCCAGAGCCATTTACCAAGGAGAGCTTCATTGAAAGGCAACAATCTCCTTAACCCTAAGCCTCCACTCCGAATTGGACGACACACATGCTCCCACCAAACCAGATGATACTTAAACTCCTCTCCTCTCCCCCCCCCCCCCCCCCCCCCCCAAGAAAGTTACACTGCAATCTCTCAATTCTCTCAGTCACTGAAGAATGAATATGAAAGAGAGAGATGAAATAAGTGGGGAGGCTAAAGAGGGTGCTCTTAATCAAAGTAACCCGACCCTCCTTGGAAAGGTACTACTTTTTCCAACCCGCCAACCTCCTCTCGAATCTATCCACAACCGGATCCCAACTCCCCACACATCTCGAAGGGGATCCCAAAGGCAACCCTAAGTAAAAAATTGGAAAAGAACCAGTGCAACATCCAAGAATCTGAGCAAACATCTCAATCTCAGGAACATCCCCAACAGGCACAAGAAGGCTCTTGCCAACATTCACCTTAAGACCAGAAATAACTTGGACCCAAATCAAACGCATCTCAAATATCTCAACTGGGATGCCTCCGCATCACAAAACACTAAAGTATCATCCGCAAACATCAAATGAGAAATCTCCAGTTGATTAGCAACATCCTTGCCCACGCGAAAACCTCTCAAAAAACCCAACTCCACAGCCCTCTTCAGCAATCTACTAAGAGCCTCCATCACAAAAAGGAACAAGAAAGGAGAGAGCGGATCCCCTTGTCTCAAGCCCCTCGAGCTAGAGAAAAAACCTATCGGATCTCCATTCACAAGGACAGAGAACCGAGCGCTAGATATGCAGAAAAGAATCCATCTCCTCCAACGCCCACCAAACCCCATCCTCTCCAAATAAGTAGAGAAGGAAACTCCAACTCACATGGTCATACGCCTTCTCAATATCCAACTTACATATAACACCCGGAACGCCACTACTCAAACGGGAATCCACACATTCACTAGCAATAAGAACTGAATCCAAAATTTGACGACCTCCCACAAAGGCATTCTGAGAGTCAAAAATGACGCCATCCATAACCTTCCTCAATTTAGAGGCCAAGACTTTCGCAATCAACTTGTAAAAACATCCCACCAGACTAATAGGGCGAAAATCCCTAAACATCCATTGCCTCACCCTTCTTCGGAATAAGAGCAATAAAAGTGGCATTTAAACTTTTCTCAAAAGAGCCCTGAACATGGAAGGCGTGAAATGAGCCCATCACCTCCTCACGAACCACCTCCCAACACTCCAAGAGGAATCTCATAGAATAACCATCAGGACCAGGGGCTTTATCCCCATTATAGCTCTTCAAAGCAGAAAAGACTTCCTCTTCTGAAAATGGCTCTTCCAACTCCTCACCCGAAATAGAGTCAAAGTGAAGCCCATCAAGCAAAGGACACCAACCAGCTGGTTCAGTGAACAACTTCGAAAAGTAATCAGAAAAACCCTTACAAATCTCCTCCTACTTGCTGAACATCACCCCATCCACCCAAATCCTCCCAATGTGATTGCCCCTTCTATGAGCATTGGCAAGTCTATGAAAAAAATTTGTGTTATTGTCGCCTTTTTTGAGCCACAAAGCTCTAGACTTCTGTCTCCATGAAATCTCCTCCATGACAGCGATCTCAGCGAACTCTGCCTGACACTCCGCCCTCCTACGCTTTAATGGAACTGTCAAAAGACCCTGACTCTCCATCTTATCAAAATCAGCAATCTCAGATAGAACCCGATTCTTCCTCCAGGCCAGATTACCAAAAACCTCTTTGTTCCAAAATTTTAAGATCTTCTTCAAAAAACGCAGCTTGCTTGCCAGAGAATGACTAGGAGTGCCGACCACTCCATACCCTGCCCACCAGGATCGGACTCGCTCCAGAAAACCCTCAGCCCGAAGCCACATATTCTCAAATCTAAAAGGGGATCTTCTGATACGTAGCCCACCAAAGTCCAACATCAACGGAACATGATCAGACAAAAGGCGAGCCAATGTGGCCTAGACAACATCAGAAAACTTCTCCTCCCAATCACTCAACAACAGGAATCTATCAAGTCGAGAGAGAGTAGGAGGAAACCGACCACTGGACCAAGTGAAAGGTCCACCCACCAAAGGCAAATCAAACAAACAAAAAGCATCAATAAACTCCGAGAAAGACATCATGTCAGCTGTCCACCTACCCCCTGTCAACCTCTCAAAAGGGGAACACACAACATTGAAATCCCCCCCGATACACCAAGGCAGCGACCATCGCCTACGAATCTCCCCCAACTCCTCCCAGAGCAAATGACAAACACAATCCTCCGAAGGGCCATAGACACCATAAAAAACCCAACGAAAACCATCCTCCACCATAGAAAGAACACAGGATGCTGAGAAAAGCCCAACCTGGGAGTCCAACAAAGAGATTCACCGATTATCCCACATAATCAGGATACCACCCGAAGAGCCAATCGCATCCAAAGCAAACCACTCCACAAATCTCCCTCCCCACAAACTTCGAACAATCACATCCGTCATTGAAGCAATCTTGGTTTCTTGCAAACACACAACATGACCACCCGCTTTCCAAACCACCAATTTCACCACTTTTCTTCTAGCCGGATCGTTGAGACCCCGGACATTCCATGAAAGAATTTGTAGCTTCATAGGGAAACAGTAGAGTTGGTAATCTTTTTTTCTTTTCTTTTTTTATAAGTAAAAATTTTATAAAAAAATGCTCAAAAGGGGAGCGGATCCCAAAGAGACACAAAGGCCAAAAAAAAGCCTCAAGCCTTCAAAGAGGCCAAAAAAGAAACAATCTCCTCTAAAGATCTATAATCTCTCCCTGAAACCCAACAAAAAAGAGTGGAAATAATAGAGAACTTAAGCAAAGTGACAGGCTTCTCCTTTCCATCAAAATATCTCCGATTTCTCTCCAGCCAAATGCACCACCAAATACAAAGAGGAGTAGCCTTCTAGGCATCTCGAATGAGAGTCCCAACTGAGAAGCCTCTCCAAGCCTCAATCAACCCTCTAGTGGAACAAGGCATAACCCATGGAACTCCAAACCAACCGAACATCAAAACCCAGCAGTCTCTGGCCATACTGCAGTGCAACAGAAGATGATCAACTGTCTCCTCAGTAGAGTTGGCAATCTCACCCCTCCTTCCACTAGCCTTCTCCCTAGACCCCTTCCTCCTCCTTTCATAAGTGACGAAAGTTGAGGGGGTCGAAACCCCTGTCTCCTCTCTCTCCACTGGGATACTCCCCCTACTTCCCATTCTATCAGCAAACTGAGCATTAAGCACATCAAGGAATAAACTTGTCGCCTCCTCCAACCGACCCTCAAAAGAAACTCCCAAAAGGGAACCAACCTCAACTCCCTTTTCGCTCACCCAATCATCCTCCAAATCAGCCATCTCTGCATCAAAACCATTCCGTTCCACAAAATTCCCATCCAGTCGAACAACAGCCAAAGGGTTAAGCAATTCAATATCAGATTCACATCCGTTCCACAAAACCATACCCAAATCCCCATGAAGAGAGGAACACGACCCATCATCCCCATTCTCAACAGATGACATGGAGAGCAGCTAGAAAGGGGGGTCCCAAACACCTCATCAGCCAAAAGATCATTCTGCTGATTATGAGAACCCTTCAAGACAAGATGAGCCCGCAAATCGTTCAAAAGCACAGCAGCTAAAACATCATCAATCTTGATCTTCACATCCCGGCCCACGCACAGTAATTCCTTCACTGCTAACATCACACAACCGAGAAGATCCCGACTCTTTGCCACTGCCTCCACCATGTCATTTCTCACAATCAGGCACCGGCTCCCTTTCAAAAACCAGGGACAAACATTTTGAAACAGAAGACACCGCACCCTTTTTCAGCCCCAAAGTCCTTTGTGACACCCCGCAAGGGTGAGAAGAGGAAGAAGAAGGTAAGACAACATGCTACTTGTTATGTTAGTGATAATAACTTTCAGAGAATTGCCAGTAGCAAATTGTAACATTCACTTGCACACAACAACAAAAAATGAGTAGCATAGTGAAGCCTCCATTATAAAACCAATGTATCAACACAAGATAATTGTAAGACAACATGCTAAAGTTCCTTTGCCTTCTGTTAAAGGAAGAAGTACCTCAATGTAAAATAAAAGGTACATTGTATGGACCAGGGCATTTGCTAGGCAGTAAAGGGGAAAAAGGAAGGAAAAATTGTAAACACAAAAGCTTCATGAATGACCAATTGGAGTAGAATTACTCACTTGAACAAAGAAAAAAAATTAAGCCCCTGCAGTTCAATGAGTTATCGTTCATCTACTCCAGCAGCTGTTGCAGGTTGTTCGGTGGACACCTCAGTGGCTGCAGAGGTCCCCTTTTTACCTGGGCCTACAGAAACTTTAACTGTTGCTGGTCTCAGTAGTCGCCCTCCTAGAGAAAACCCGCGACGAAATTCTTTAACAATTATCCCCTCCTTGAACTCTTGCGACTCCTCACGAGCAATGGCCTCATGCAGCTGTAACCAAAAGAAGAAGAAACCCAAAATAAAAGATGGCATAAGAAGGTGCATAATATAGCATGCCTTTTTTATCTAATAAATATGAATTCAAAGTACACACTAATTACAAATTGCTCGTCATCCTTCATCTGCAGGAGCATTCATTAGGCTCACAAATTATACTATCCCTTATTGATAAAGCACAGCCCCTCTAAAATATTTGTAGCATTGAACTACAAGCAGATTGGGGTGTCCAAGACAGGGTTATACTTTATGGTAGAGTACTAACTACTACTTTCGCACAAATGGAATGTGGTGGGAGTGCAAATGAAGGTCGAACAGCCCAAAAATTCAATCAAAGGTGAATGAATTGAACATCAAGGAATAGATTGGAGAAACTTCTCCACCATCTTACAGATATCTTAGATGACGTTAAGCTCTGATTCTTCAAGGATGGACTTTTCTACATTTCCTCCAGGGAGATTGTACAAACTGCTGTTTCAGGGCTGATGATAATGGTAGGCACCCTTCAGCTGAATGCTTGTCTTAAGAACAAGCATGCAGAAGAAACAACATTCAGAATTAAATTTCTAGGTGGTGTCACTCAATATCTCAGCTTCCTAAACTATATCTAATTTATAACTTCTAGACAAATTTAATACTAACACTGTTGGCATCTCCAACTCTCCTATGAAGAAATAACAAAGCCTGAAATGTCTCGTGATCATTAATGTACAGGAATGGAGAAAAATTTCCTGTTAGATGCTAAATCAAAACCAAGGCAGGTATGAACATGAACATAATTCTCTTTGGTATTATCCCTTGTAGCTTTTCACTGCAGTCTCCTTAACCAGCAAGAAGCATGAGAACAACAACACCCCCCCCCCCCCCCCCCCCCCCAAACGCAAAAAAAAAAAAAAAAGAACCAACAACAACAACAACAAAAAAGAAGAGAAAAGAACACAAATTATCAGCAATTTCCAACAATTTTGACTTACCAATGGATCAAATGGCTTTCCAACTGTTGCTACGGCGGCCACATTCAAGCTCCTCATGATTTCCACAAATTGCTTGTATATACCCTGGTAACTTGCATGAATTGTTTTTTCCTTATCTGTTTCTAGATTCATTTGTTGTTTGGCTCTCTCAAAATTGTCCACCATTGGCAAAAGACTCTCAATCAATTCTCCCTGGGCATCACTCCTTGCTGTAAGTCTCTCCTTCTCCGATCTTTTCCTAAAATTATCAAAATCTGCTTGCAAGCGAATATATTTTTCCTTCTCAGATTTTATCGCTGATTTTAAAGCTGAAACTTTCTGGAACAACTCTTTTTTCTCATTTTCTACCACACATATCATAGCCTCAACATCAGTTATAGTCTTTATATCTCCATATACAATAGCCTCCTTGTAAACTTTCATGAGGGCTATCAAACTGGATGAATGTTTCTCATCTCCTTCGCTTTCAATCTTTACATCATTCAGACGAGTCTCAACTTCATCATTACTCTAGCAAAATTAGTTTATAACACGGTTATAGAGAATCAATAACTAAGGATGTAAATGAAAATATTCAAAAGTTAATTTTCAGTTTTGTGAGAATTTTCTTTGCAGAAAATATGATAGTTCAGTTGTAAGGAAGGATGGAAAGATTAGAGTCCAAAAGTAAAGAAGAAGATAGAATTGTTTCAAATAAATTGAGAATTCCAACAGGGTGGAGCCACATTAAGCTGAGAGGGTAGCTGCCCCCTTGAGCTGGGCTATATGTCTCTAGTTCTTCCTTTCTTCTTCAGATTTCTTTGATTCCTTCAAAAAAATGTTGCATTCCCCTTCATCAATCAAACCCTAACTTTTCAGTTGTCAAGAAGGAAAGATTAGAATCCAAAAGTAATAAGAAGATATAATTGTTTCAAATAAATTGAGAATTCCAACAGGGTGGAGCCACATTAAGCTGAGAGGGAAGCTGCCCCCTTGAGCTGGGCTTATGTCTCTAGTTCTTCCTTTCTTCTTCAGATTTCTTTGATTCCTTCAAAAAAATGTTGCATCCCCCTTCATCAATCAAACCCTAACTTTTTTCCCCTCAAAGGTCTCTCGTTATTCTTTTATTTTTATTTTCTTCTTCATTTTTTCCCCCCTCTCTCTCTATCTTCTTAAAATTTCTTCTTCTTGCACTCGTGTATGATTTATATGCAATAACCTTTTTTCTCTCTCTTTAATTTTTTTTTCCTCTTCCTCTTATTCAATTCTTTTTTTCTAGTCTCAAGATCTCACTTTAGTCCCTAATGGGACTTGAACCCCGAGCTTCCACTTAAAAAGGTAGAGGAGATACCGCTAGGCTACAGCCTTTGGTGGTTCTTTAAATTTATTAATTCAATTTTATGAACGTGTCCTTGTGTTTATGTTTCTGAATTTCATTTTTTTTATTTATTTATAATTTTATTTTTTTGCAAATAATGACACACTATTTGAATCTTGATTATTGCACCATTCAGCACTTCTATTTTTGGGTTAGTTGCACTATCAGTTGTCATGTTAGCTGGAAAAGAAAATTTTACCTCCCCCCCAAACCCCGGCTAATAAATTCCTAGCTCCATCACTCAATCCAAGAAAGAAGGCTTCAAAAAAGAACATTGCAAACAGGATACATCAGCCGATAGGCAAGTTGATATATGCCCTTAAGTAATACAATCACATACAAGGATTTTTGTTTGTCTAATGACTGAAATGCATTATCTAACAAAAGAATCTTTTTATTGTCAAATATCAGAAGCCCCATAAACAAATTTTGTATAGTTTTGAAGCTAGCAAAGAAGACATGGTCATGCTTCCATGTTAATGACCACTGTTTCTCAAATCAACGGTATGCAAATCTTACATCCCTAGGATATGCAATCCAAAAATACACAAGTAATAATATCCATTGGAAAACACAAATTAACGCAGGAGCCAGGAAACTATACCTATCAATGCTTTGCATGTCATACATGTCAGTGGAACATGTATTTCGATGTTTTAGTTTTGACACTTACAATCATACAAGTGTTTCCATAACAGCCTAAGTTCTTCCGGTCTCACCATATATATATGCACTTATATAATTGTATCCCATGTCTATGTAAAAGAAAATATGAAATAGTACTGAATAACTGAAATGTGAGTATCAGTCATTGTTTCATGGCAATCACTATTGAAGCTATGAATTCTTTCCTTTTCAATAGCTAGCATCTAAAAAGATTAATTGATTTGCATATTTCAACCCAGTTCAATATAATTCAAAGATTTTAAATTTTTATTATTCTTAGAGAATTTTGATGACGGTTAAAATATTTAATTTATTAGTTGTATTGGATTTATTATTAATTCTTAAGTTACTGAACATAACCAAGATCAACTCATATAGGCAAAAGATTCGTTGATAATACATCTGATAGTGAGCCCTTCTTGAATGCTTGAGAGAATGCCCCCCCTCTTGAGAGTTAACTTATAAGAAGCCTCCATTACAATTAATCAAATCATAGTGAAGGTGATTTGACTATCATAATGGAAGTATCAATTGGATCTTGGAGTTATTGGTGTTACAGCATTAAAAGATATCCATTTGTTTACAAGGAACTGAAACTCCACCATTACTTTATAATATATACATATTACGTACATATCAACCAAAAGAAACATACACATGTAGCCAGAACTATACTATTATAAACTTATGATGTACCTCAAAACATAATTATGTGACATTTTCTGTTAACACTTTCTTACATTTTCAAAAAAAAAAAAAAAAATTATAGAGAAGGTATAGTTAAAAGTTCCAATGGGATAGTATAGAGATAGTTCTAGAAAATGAAATATGATTATGATCTAGGAATTCTCATTAAAGGCATAAATGCATAAAATTTCCCCCATTTATCAATCTTAGGCAATATTCATAGTTCAATTCGCTCAGTCCAAATTTTTGGAAGGTCCCAACAATTTCAGAGTTCCATATCCTAGTTTCAGCTGAATCATATTTATGGACAACAATGAAGGGTGCATTAGGTTGAAAATTCCAAAATTTCCCTGAATATCATTCTTTAAACCAAATTTTGGAAAATAATCCATTTTGTATTTATCCAAAAAATTTAAGCTATAATTTAGTCATGATACACATATCAAAAAAATTTGTGACTAAATTGCCTCATCTAATGACCGATTTGAGGGGGGGAAAATCATCCTGATAAGTTTAATTGGGGACAAAGTTAACTCTGGAATAATTTCCATTCTCAAGGCACCGATCACTGAGTTTATTTTAACTCTTCAGTAAGCCAAGCATTTCAAACTTGTGCCCAAACTCACTAAAATTTGGCTCTAATGATCATCAATTTAGTTGATTTTTTAAAGATTATAATGACTTTGCACAAGAGACATGTCAATTCAAAATTACAAAGTACTGAGGCACAAAATGATCTGTGCAATACATCTTTCAGACACTGACTAATCTTATTAGCACTGCAAATGGCCGATTCATCAAACTACAATACCTGAAGCTTTATGGCAGGTATTATAACAGGCACTTATCATCATCAACAAAGTTGCAAAAACAATAATTTAAATCTAAATATAAACTATAATTCTCAAATAATTGTACCTAATTATTCATTTGAAATCCTTCAATCTAAATTGCGACTAAAAAAAGTGGCAAATATTTATAGTCTCTGCTTCCTTTTCCAACATAACATTATTAATGTCCAAGAGAAAATACAATAAGTTAAGCGAATTATAAATCAACCAAACTTCAAGAAAAATCCAAAGTACACAACAAGGTAAAAACAAAGCAACAATTCAGAAAAAAGAAAAAGAAAATGAAATCCAATCGATTAATGAACTTTGGTGCAAAAGAGAGAAGCATACATGGGGCGTATAGTTGACTGTAAGAGACGATCCAAAGGAACGCCTGTTGTTGTTATTCTTGATTGGAGAAGAATTAGAGAGAGAAAATTCTACAATGGGTTTGCTGAAAACACGAGAGCGGTTGTGTTGGTTGGATGGAAGAGCTAGGGTTTTCAATTGCAGGGTTTTGGAGGGCTTTGAGGCGGAGGCAGAGAGGGGAGGAAGGTACAGAGAGAAATTGTTAGAGAGAGAAACAGCCATTGAAGGCGAAAGCCTTAAGATTCGGCTTGCTGTATTTAGCCAACGGCTTTGCTTGCTGTCTAATACAACTGGTGTTTGGTCAGTTTAATAACGAAGGGGTTTATTGCTGACCGGTCGGAAATGGGGGTTGGTTTAGAATTCCATTTTTACCCCGGGTCAGACATGCCTTTAGGCTTTTTGAATGGAAAGAATTTGTCATATCAAATCTCAAATACTACTAAGATATTATATATAAATATATATATTATTGGATTTATCAGTTGAAATTCTAATACTTTTTAACTTTTTATTTTTATATTTATTTTTTTTCTCTCCCCTTTCTTAGTCCATCTGACTGCTGGATTCTTGATGGAAAATAATTTTGTGATTGTTTTTTGCAACTTTTAATTAATACCCAATTTTCAACCTTACCAGTGGCATAAAAGGTCATGCAATATTTTTATCCGCAAACCATACATATCATCTAAATCTGATTTTTTTTTTTTTATGCAATTAAAGTCGAACTCCGAATTTTCGGCGTCGTTAGAGATCCTTTAACCATTGGGGCCATACGTCTACCATTCATAATTTGTAAATTTAGGATTGCTAAAAGAACAATATTTAAGTTGGTATTTGGTAACATAAAAAAAGAATAGTGTTTATGATGAGAGTCCTCTCATGGTAAGTTCTCTTATCTGACTAAGGAATTGAAAATTTTATTAATGGACTAATTTAACTTTTTACATATCTTGAAAAATATGTAAACTTTTGTCATAAGTGGGATAAGTGGGCTCTCATGATAGAATTACTTAATCAAAAATAAAAATTCTAAGAGTTGATTTTTAAGTTTTAAATTTGTGATGACAATTGAAAATTAAGAAAAAAAAATTTAATATATTTTTTTTTATTTTAAGTACTTAGCATTGATAAGTAACAAATGATTTCAAAATCTGTATCTTCATATGTATCTAACACGTTTAATTGAATAAATATTTACTAAACCACACATAAGTTTTTATTTCTTCATAATCACTCTTGACTTTCATGCATATATATAGCATTGGGCATAGGAATGGTGACGATCCGGTTTAGGGAAGGGATTTTAAGTGTTGAAGTTGTGACTACAATTGTAAATTGAGAAATTTCTTTTAATAATTTTTTTTATTTTAAGTATATAGCATTCTTTTAAATTTTTTATTTTTATTTTAAGTGATAAGGAATATTTAAATAAGATACGATAAAGTGGTTGTTGAATCGGGTTAAGATAACCTCAGCACAAGTTTAAATCCAAAAGAGCAGATAATCTCCCCAACAAATCTCCTCTGATTTCGCAACGAACTTAGGGAGAGCCGGCTGTAAGAACAAAGACCCTACCAGTCAATCAGGTATGACAAAAACGATATATTAAATCCCTGTCTTCCTTTTAGACCTCCAGTGACTGACTTGATTGTCGGAGAGCTCTAGGCAAGCACCACACTAGTGTCGTCAAGATTCATCGATATTCTCCTCTCTTCTTTGTAGGAAAACGGTATTGTACCGAGCCGTGCGGATTTCTTCCCCAACAGCTAGCGTCGTTTGTGGGAACGATGATTCCTTTAAATCAATAAGTTACTCGGTTGGGTATATGCCTTTGCGGTCCAGTATGGTTATTGGAGAAAAAACATTATTGCAGGGATCCGGTCGAAGGGAAGGGTTAGGTAAACACCCAGATGTCCTAAACGACCAAAAACAGCTTGCAGGGTTGGAACTGCAGGTCCAAACTCTGAATTAGGGTATAGACCAGTTGATCCAGCAAAATGCAATGATCTCGCAACATCTTATCCCAGCGGGTCCACCGGTTTAGTAGAATTTCCCACGGCAAGATCTCCCAAACCCAAACGATGGGAATGAAAACCTTGAGGATCGGGGTAACAATCCTCCGAGAAATAAGACCGAAGTGGAGCAAAGCTAAGTTGGGAACCAACATAGAGAGGTAGCTCATCCATCTCTTCCACAGAGTTCCCGACCTCATGGAGACACAACAGTCAATGAAAAGATGGAGGAGATTACCCATTTTAACCTGCAGATCCAAGATCTCAAGGCGAAAATGGAAGATGTGATGTAGGCCATGAAGGGGAAAGGCACCGCAGCCATAGATGACCTGGTAGAAAGGATGAACTTGCCATTCAACCCCCACAGTTATGAAATGCCCCCTATCTAGCAGGTTCAAGATGCCTTCGTTCGAAAGTTTCGAAGGGACCAAAAATCCCCTTGACCACCTGAAGACCTTTCAAACTCTTATGCATATACACACTGTGCCGGATGAAATCATGTGCCGAGCCTTTCCCACAACCCTTAAGGGATCGACACGAGTTTGGTTCAATAAGCTGAAGCTAGAAGCCATCGACACCTTTGAAGAACTGAGTAAACAGTTTGTAAGCCATTTCATTGCAGGTCAAAGGCATAGGAGGTCGGCCACCTACCTGCTGACTATGAAACAACAGAAGGGAGAGTCGATCCGGGAATACATTACCCAATTCAACACAGAGATGTTGCAGGTAGAAGAGGTAGATGATAAGGTGGCTTTGACCGCTTTCATAGGAGGACTCCAACCATCCAGATTCTTGTTCTCCATGTCAAAAGAGCCTCTAACTAGCATGGCAGAGTTGTTGATCAGAATGCAGAAACACATGAATAATGAAGACAACATGAATGCACCGAAGGAAAAGAAATGAAAGGACAAAAAGAGGTCAGCCCCCTAGTGTCAGGGATAAGAAGGAAACCAAATACAAGAAATCATTCTTTAACCAAAGCGATAGGACATTTTGTGAGAAAGACTCATATAAGTATGTCGACTACACTCCTCTGAATAAATCAATTGACCATATTTTCTTACAGATACAAGACGATGCATCTTTGAAATAGACACAGAGGATGAAGTCCAATCCAGCGAAAAGATCTCGAGATAAGTATTACAGGTTCCATCGGGATCATGGGCACACTACAGATGATTATTTTGACCATAAGAATCAGATTAAAAATTTGATTCAAATGGGTCATTTGCAAAGGTTCGTTGCCAATAAAGGTACCAACCCCAATAATTTCCCTCTGACTAGCAACCAATTGGGGAGATTAGGATCATCTCTAGATGAGTAGATCTGGGATGAAGAATCCAACTCGGCTTATAAGGCTAGCGTGATAAAAGTTGCCTCCCAAGTAGAAACGGCCTTATCAAGTCATTTAAAATAGAGACTGGGGGCATGTTAGTTAAAGCACTTTAAAGGGAGGATAGGTTCCTCGCATTTCACCTTATTTTCCAAATAAAGTCACCATCACCAATAAAATAGATGACCCCTCGTGTTTATGCAATAAAAGAGTATGTTTTCAGCTACCTATAAATGATCTATGTGGTAATGTTTTACATAAAGTTAAACAAAAAACCAAGCTCCCTTGCTAAAGGGATTAAACGAGTAAAGCTCGTAAAAACAATTCCCTTACTAAAGAAACAAGCTGAATGAAGCTTATAAAATCCATTCCCTTACTAAAGGGACGAGTTGAGTGAAGCTCATAAAATTTATTCCGGGACGAGCTGAGTGAATGTGATACCCATCGATTATGAAACGCAGGTTGATCAGTTCCACGCACGACACTAATGAAATATCAAACAATTAAAGTAATAAACAAACACGGAATACAAAAGATAAATAAATAATAAATAATAAAGCTGAAAGGAAACTAATATCAAATTATTCAAATAATATCCCAATAAAATAATCCTCCAAATACTCTGATACCAATAATTCTCTAGATTACAACTCGGGAATCCATAATGTGAAGCTCTAATAAAATCCCAACTAAAACAATAACTGAAATAAATAACTAAATCCAAAGTTTGAAAGCTTAAAGTTGAATCCTGCGTAGATGAAGAGTGACGATGACTGGTCTCTACTCTGTACGAACAATCTCTACACTTGACGAACACCTGAAAAATAATAGTGAGTTAGGTCCACAAACAAGTTCTACTTTACTACATCCTAAACAGAGACCCGATACACATATACGTCCTAGTCAACTCATACAATAACTACATAGTCCGTATATATAAGGACTCTCACTGGACTATAGGGCGGTCTCAATCGAATAGTAGGCAACATGCAAAACGTACACATAGTGGGCATAAGTACCATGATCTACCAGGGCCCAAAACTATCCACTATATCCAGCTATGCATTCCAGGCAATATACGTTCCCTAACCCCCGATCTTAAGAACTCAAGCTCATATCGTGGCATATATCAATATATACTTAAATACATATCCTATCCAAAAACATAAAATAAACTATCTGCTATAATTTTTTAATGGCATGTCATTCACATGATTCCGCAACCTGACACGAATAGATAAGACTTAACTTATTAGGCAGTCCATCCATAATATGCTCCCATATCCTGATAATGGTGCATTAATCCATAATCCATATCCAAACACTGGTTTCCAATCCAAACAATGATGCAAGCATGTATATATATGAGATAATCCAGAAATAAAACATGATAGAAACCATATTATACCCATTGCATTTAATTAAGCAATAAAAATAATTTAAATGACATGTGGTTAAATTACATTCAAGTAATTAACCTACATCTCAATTAAATCATATAAACCTCCACAACCATGATTAAAATCATTTAAATAACCTTTTGCAATTGTTAAACAATTTAAATCCATATAATCATCCATTAAATAACTTGTAAGTTATTTAAAATTTCCATATTGTCCAATTCCTTAGCATATTAAGGTATATTATGCATTCTAGGAATTTTTCAAGCCCATTTAAACCATAAAAATTAATTAAATTGGTAAAAACAATTTTTGAGCATTCAAAACGTCGATCCCAATTTCCAGCCTAACTAAGTCGACTTCTTCTCAGGAAGTTGACTCAGTTTCTAACTGAGTCGGATCATTCTCAAATGAGTCGGCTTTTTCACTAATCAAGTTGACTCGGCTCTAACTAAGTCGACTTGTTTAGCAACTGAGCCGACTTAGTTAGAACTAAGTTGCCTCGTTCCTGCTAGGAGTTGTCTTCTCCAACTCTGGCAACCTCTGCTTACTCCGATC